TTTTTTATTATTTATTTATTATATAAGTGGGTATTCTTACTCGCGCCGTCTAGTGGCGGGTAAGAATACCCACTACCCCATATCTTCCCGTGGGTGTCGTAAGAGGCGCCAGAGGGGAACTGAGGCAGAAGATGGGCAGCAGTATCTTTCTGATAACAGCAAAACAACGATAAAAAAACTGCGGTTGCCAACTTGCTCGCCGATTGTTGCAACTATGGCAATATACCCCCATGTTTAAAGTTAAGAAGAGACGGCTCCCAGTCCCCGGTGGCTCTGCTATTCCTGGCTTCCGTGGTACTATGGTAACGGCAGGGCAGGGGGTGCTATGAATCTCTGGTGGAGGTTCGGTTGCCACCTAAGACGATTCGACTTGTCTACATATAATGCACGCACACTGAGGACTGTCGAGAAGATCCTGGAGCTGGAAGAAGAAATAGACTATTACAGGATTATCTGAGGTCCGAAGAGAGGAGGAGGACACGGTAATCCTCGAATCCGGCAACTTGTCCTATTAGCGGGGGGGGGGGGGGGGGCGACAATCTGTCCTAAGGAGGTGTCGTTTTTATCGTATCGATTTATCTTGATGAGGAGGTGGAGGATATGTATATATCTAGAGCCATGCATTCCTCCAAAACCCACTATACGGTGTTAAGTCTCCCAGACTTCAACGCAAAACTAGGCACAAGAGAGAACGGTGAGCTGAAGGTAGGAAAATTTGGAATAGGGCAACGGAACCGAAGGGGTCAGCAGCTGGCTGACTTCATGAAGAAAGAGGGACTCTTTATGATGAACTCTTTCTTCCAGAAGTGGCCCCATAGGAAGTGGACCTGGTCGAGCCTCGACGGTTTGACAAAAAATGAGACTGACTTCATTATGACGACTAGACGACTAGAGACATAACTGTTCAGTGATGTCTCAGTGATCGCGAGGGTGAAACGGGCAGCGATCACCGAATGCACACTGAATGTAAACGTTAAGTTGGAGAGGTCTCGTCTAATGAAGTTAACGCTCCGTCCCACTCGTGCTCTAATCCAAAGTCCCGAAACTTTTCAGCTCGAGTTAAGAAACCGTTTTCAGTGCCTAGAAGATTCCAATACAGTAGACGATATAAATGACAAGTTCGTGGAAACTGTCCATGCGGTCGGAGCTAAGTTTTACAAGACCCGCCGCAGAAGAACACAAAAACTCTCCGATCACACTCTTAATCAGATCTCCAAATGCATGAGGCGGGACTTACGCAACTTTAATACTGCACGTATTGAAGAAGTGATAGAGCGGAACCAGGGCTCCAAAGTCTTTGCTAAAGATCTGTCTGCCAGAAAGAGCCAACTGCCGAAGCTGAAGACCGAGTGTGGCAGCGTTGTTTCCGGGTACCTGAGATTTTGAGTGAGATTGTGAGGTTCTATGGGCAGCTCTACACATCATCGTTGGAGCCACACTCAAATGTGAGTAACGATCCAAGAGCCAGTCTTATCCAACACTATTCCGATGATATTTCGGACGTCAGTCTGAGCGAGATTAGAATGGCTCTCCAGCGCCTTAAAAACGGTAAGGTCCCAGGCGAGGATGGAATTACAGCGGAGCTTCTGAAAGCGGGTGGAAAACCGGTAATTAAAGTCCTTCAGAAGCTCTTTAATTCCGTCCTCCATGGTGGTACTACACCGGAGGTGGGAAGTAGAAGTGCAGTGGTCTTGTTATCTAAGAAAGGCGACAACGCTCTCTTAAAGAACTACAGACCAATTTCCCTTCTGAGCCGAGTCTACGTGCTGTTTTCGAGAGTAATTACAAATCTTCTTGCATGCAGACTCGACGACTTCTAGCCTCCTGAACAAGCCGGTTTCCGAAAAGGCTTTAGCACCATAGGCCACATACATACCTTTCTGCAAATTGTACACAAGTCCAAGGAGTACAATTTGCTACTATGTCTGGCGTATGTGGACTAAGAGAAAGCCTTTGATTCCGTCGAAATTTGGGCAGTGCTGCAGTCCCTTCAGCGGTGCCAATTTGACTGTCGGTATATCGAAGTGCGGAAGTGTGTGTATAGTAGGGCTACGATGGCTATTCGAGTGCAGAACCAGAGTACGAAACCTATCCAACTGCAGAGAGGTGTAAGACAGGGTGACGTTATATCCCCGAAACTCTTTACTGCTGCATTGGAAGACGTTTTCAAGATTCTGGACTAGAAAGGATATGGTATAAAAAAACATCAACTGCGAGTACATCACTCACCTTCGATTTGCTGACGATATAGTCCTTATGGCAGAATCGCTGGAGGACCTAAGCTCTATGCTCAATGACCTCAATAGTGCCTCACAATGGATAGGTCTTAAGATGAACAGGGACAAAACAAATATCATGTATGACGTCCATGTCACACCTATGCCGGTAATTGTTGGGAGCACTAAGCTCAAAGTTGTTGACGAGTATGTTTACCTGGGACAAATAGTCCGACTAGGTAAGTCCAACTTCGACCGAGAGGTCAATCGACGGATTCAACTCGGCTGGGCAGTGTTCGGGAAATTACGGCACATCTTGTCGTCAGGTTTACCTCAAAACTTGAAAACGAGACTGCAAAACCAGTGCGTGTTGCCAGTGATGACCTATGGACCTGAGACGTGGTTCTTCACTGCTGCCCGGATGGGGAAGCTCAAGGTCGCTCAGTGAGCTATGCCCTCTCGGCTATGCTCGGAGTTTCTCTGCGTGATAAACTTAGAAATGAGGATTTCTGCAGTAGAGCCAGAGTGACAGACATAGCCCAATGGATTAGTAAGCTAAAATGGCAATGGGCCGGCCATATAGCTCCACGAACCGACAACCGATGGGGAAAAAAGTTTCTCGAGTGGCAGCCTCGTAACGGCTGACGAAGTGTAGGGCGTCCCCCCACTAGATGGAGTGACGATCTGGTAAGGCATGCAGGAAGTCGATGGTTGCGGGTGACTCAGGACCGTACTTTGTGGTATTCTTTGGGGGAGGCCTATGTTCAATAGTGGACTTGTGAAGGGCTGTAATGATGATGATGATGATGATTTATTGATACCGAGATAGTAGCAAACACTGTATACTGTCTCGAGGGCTAAATCATATAGATGTATAATATGTTTGTCTTCTTTTAGTGTCGCTTTTTGGTTTCGCCGAGTTTCAAATCACGATTCTAAAGAAGTTTTCACTCAAAAAATAATATAATATGTCATTAAATTAAAAGAGCCTATAATTTATAATAATAATAATAATAAATCTTTATTTCGGATAACAAATGAGATCCATATCACAGATATTAGAAAAATCACAAAATAATAATAATAGTACAGCTAGGTGGACGGAGAAAGTAAAATGACACGCACTATATGTTCCACATGCTCAAATTTAATAATATTCAAATAATGCTCATAAGCGGGGTTTCATTTAAATTATACCAAATATTTTTAATTGAAAGCTAAACGCATATTATTACACTACTATAACACTGAAAAAGAATAAGTTTCAAAAAATTTACAGGGAGACGCTTAAAATTTACACACTTATGCTACTTTTAATAATAACGGAATAATAATATATTATATGTTGATTAAGGCGACACCGCGAAAAAATGCACCTCCTTTCATCGAATATTATAGGAGTATGATACGACTAACGAAACTGGAATTTTGATATAGGTAAATTCATCTCTTTATCTTGAGTTAGCTTGCTTAAAAACACGATTGTAATTTTGACTCGATCATAATAATTTGCGAAAACACTATAGTTGAAATTACAACGAAATTACTTAATCTATATGCTTGGAAACCACTCGAATACATTCATGACATCAATATTCGTAATTTACTTGCTCATTATTTTGATTACTAAAATCAATAATTTTTTAAAAATATTTTAATATTCTAAGCGGTTTTAATCGTCGTGGGCGCTACGCAATTTTTGACCTTATGACGGCGGTTTTGAAGTTTTTATAGAAATTATGTTTTACTCTGGTTAGTCCGGCGATAGCCCGCTTCAACGGTTTTCGATGTGTCGCCTTAAATATCAATTTTTTGCCGTCTCTAACAATATTTATTTATTAGTCTGTAACTAGGAGTAAATAAAATATTACTCCACTCCCACCGCACCGCTTCGATCACTCGTCATCGTGAAATGTCACTAGTAAAATGTAAAAAAAAAAACAGTGTAGGTTACTGTGGAACTGGGAGATAATTGATAACGTATAGTACTCTTTATAAGTCGAAGGTTAATTATACGAGTATAAGAAAATTACGTACTGACAAAGAAAGCAAATAGAAGGAAAAGTATTTCTTCATCATAGCAACGGTAGACACATACGCACAAACATTTTTAATATTCTGTACACACACACACAACACAAATAAATGAAGAGATGATGATAATAATATCATAAACTGTTCTGTGATCTTGCCCATAGAAAAGACCTGATCTTTACACTCAATCCACTTTCTAAATCCAGCTTGCACATTGCAGTTAATTTACGAACAGTTTTCCTACAATGCTAAACCGACGGATTCCACGATACATTTTACATTTTACTACTCCGGGATTATTTAATCACGGATAAAATATAAATTATATATATAAATGCGTGACGCTATGTATGTACGTATTATAATGGAATTTTAATATTCAATTTTCACCCACTTCCGGATCTGAATAATCTAAAATTTCGCAGACGTATTAGGGACCGATGACAACACAATAATTTCAAGACTATGACCTAGCATTTCTCATCACGATCAATCCGTTACGTTAAAGTTCTTTTTAAACTCCAATATTATTTATTTAAATCATTGTCTCTATTGCGTTGTTCATTGATCTACATTCTACAGTTGAGTCGGGCTTTCCTATTCCTTCACTCACTATCGCATATTGCTTCAGTCCGCGGTTCAATGTCGCACAGGCCGTTATTCCCGTTTACTTGCGCTATAGCGCAATGATTATAAAATAACCCGTTCGTAAATGTGAAAGTTATTTTTAATTTTGACAAGTTTAAAAAAATGGAACGTGCAAACGGAGTTTCGGAACGTAATTCCAACGATAGAAATGAAGAAATAATTTTGAAAAACCGTGAGACGTTGACAAACGAAAACGATGAAAGTGCGAGAGTGACAGCGAAGTTCAGGAAGTCTAAGAGTTATCTTGAGCTTAGCAAAATGAGTTCTGTGCAGAGGCTGTCTGTGAACGAGAGGAGAGTGCTAGTTATTTATACTGGGGGCACGATTGGTATGGTGAAGAATACGAAGGGCGGTAAGTCCTCATCATTAGTTCTGATAGAATCAACTGCAAGGTTGGTTAGGGCTATTTAGGTACGGGATCTAGCAGTTCATACCATCCTCTCACCTCTTTCTACCGCCAAGTGGTGCACACAGTGTTCCAGTATAATAAAAGGCCATGCAGTCTTTATTGTTTGAAGGAGTTCGTTAGTTACCTTTGCATAATATAATTATTGAAAAAAAAAAACTTACCCTGTGCAATTTTATTGCCGTTATGGTTAACGCAAGATAATTTTCATATTTACGTTTTTACTCACAGTTACATTATTATCTTAAACATTAAAGTGCAAGTATCAACAAACAGACGTGATTTGTGACGTTTGTCAAACAACTCAAAGCAGCCTGTGCAAAGTATTTAGGTACTCTATAATTAGGCACACGCTCTGTGACGATATACGAGAATATACTCAGTCTAAAGAACAGTATACATGCTAATAAACATGCTTAGACACTATTAGTATATATTATCGTATTATGTAATACTATTTAAGGCTGTAAAAGTGATAAAATATATTTTAATTTTAAAATAAAAGCAAATCAATTATTACTTCTTACTAATTTAAAATATTATTATATCACCGATTTCTAAATCGGAAGTGCTCGGTAGGATTCGTAGTCGCGCAAGAGTCCCCATTTGGGCCATTTTTGTTCATTCTACCTGAGACTACTTGAGGTTTGCAACGCACGTGATCCTAAACGAATGACCGTAAAACCTTCTTACCTACTTGCAAAAATTTAAACTATTCAAAGTGCAGTTGATCCTGCTGGGGTTCCACCTACCATCTAGCGCTTACTTGCTTGCTGTACCGTGAGCTAACAGACTGTTGGCCTACCATCCTGCCAACAGCGATCATCACTGTTGGACCTAGATATCATCGGCTCCTTCCGCTAGCTGGCTGTATGCGATCCTGCAAGAACAGCCCCTGGACTTCGCCTTCCTACGTCAGGCCAGTGATCTCCTCTATATATCTAACTCTTGTATGTGTGCGGAAGTAAGATAATAAAATAATTTACTATAAATGTTAACAGTTTTTAAGAACCCACCTATCTTCTGAACCAACCCTAACGGTACGGAATCAACTATAAGTCGAAAGACTTCACAGTCACAGGCAGTGGACTGTTAAAATAACAAAAATAAATAATAAAGAATTAAAGCTTGGTAGTGTCAAAGACACGCAGACAATCAACTCAACCGAACGTTATTATTATTATTATGTTCACGCACAATCCCTGACGGGGTAGCCAGAGAGAACAGATCGCCAAGTGTCACGATCCTTACATACCTCTTCGCTTCTTTCAGATTCATTATCTTCTTCATACATGCACGTCTAGGTATCCGAGTACTCTTGGCCCTCCCCTCTTCGAGCAATTTGCTCACATGGTCTTCGAAAGTTAGTCTCGGTCTACCTCGACACCTTTTAATATTAACTTTCGCGCTATATATTTTCTTCACCATTCGGTCTTCACTCATTCGCTCAACGTGCCCAAACCACCGAAGCACGCCCTTACCAATTTTTGTGATAAGGTCATCTATCAAACCTGCCATATTGCGAATCTCTTCGTTTCGCTTTCGGTCGGCCATGGTAACGCTGCACATTTTACGAAGAGATCGCATCTCCACTGCGTTCAACTTGCTTTTATGCTTCTTCTGGCATACCTAGGTTTCGCTGCCATATAACAAAGTCGGTACCAACACTGCGTTATGTATTGCAAGGCGTGCACTCTTCACTACGCCTTGCCTTTTGACTAACGCAGTCAGGGCACCATTGACTTAACGTTCACACCAACAATTTGTGATTTTGAACAAACTTTGGGTTAATGTGGTAGGAGCCAGGTATCTTGTGTACTAAGCCTCCCTTGTTCCCTTGAGAAGGATTATTTGTGTAAGATGGGACGTAATGTGATAGTGACCTGCTTTCACTGTAGTGGGAGAGATCAGAACTCTGCAACGCAAACACTTGCGACGCGTGGGAACCATACCGGCGGGTCCTGATAAGTAGTATCTGTTTGAGGCCCCTCCCTGCCAGCTGTCGTGTTGGGCGATGCTGAACGGGAACACGGCGTGGACGACCGAATCCTTATTTTATGTGTCCGTGATAGACAAAAAAGAGGCTGTTGATATGCAACGAGAGATAACAGGTCCCCCCCGAAGGCATGGCTACGCGAGTGCTCGTAACCGCCCATGTTAACGTAACGATAAAAGTTTTAGGGCCTACGCCTACAGACGTGCGTGGCAAGGCACACTTCGGTATACCGAACGCTCCTGTGGCATCTCGCATTATGCGGAAGGATCCTGTGACATCCCGCGCTATGGCAAACAAGTCAGATACGCTCGTGTCATATTATTTATTCTGTGCTCGTGTACCGGGCGCTCGCACGAGTCGCTGAGATTGCCGCCGCAACGGGCTAGATGCAACCTTGTTACAATTTCTTAGCAGTCACATTCCTTTAACGAAGTAGCGTGCCGCGGCAATGCTAAATATATATATATAATATAATAATAGTCGTTCTGAATTTATCAAAGAACGATATCAAGCTAGTAATTAGATTATACTCGTTCTCATCTAGTAAAAGATCACTGCGACCTATATCAATCAACATGTCTCTAATGGGTCGGCAATTTGCATTGTGGCTGATGCTTGTTAGCATCATAAAAGCATGCTGTGCCATCTTGATGGTGTACTCGTCTTTATAGTTGGTGGGGCGCTGTTTCCAGATCTAGTCGAAACCTCATCTAATTCAAAATCATTCGATGAAGCTTCGTCATCCGAGTGGTTTATATTTACACCAATATCTGAGATGAGAGCAGATCACACTGTTCTTTGCTGGCAGCGGCTTCTAGTTGTGAAGCTCTATATCTCAAATGCTTGACTATTTTCTTACATTTATTAAAAAACAAAGAACCGCATCAGTGTTCTGAATACCATGTACGGTGACCAGAGTATGCAAAGCATGGCCCAGGCAAAGATTATTTTTCATATAAAATAAATCAGCAGCTCTTTTCATATTACTGACATAGTTGGTCACAAGGACAACATCTTTTTGTGAAATCTGAAATGTCCGCATAATACCTTGAATTTCGTCTCTAATTTTTTCACCTGTATGTTGTCCAATAACTTGTTGGGTAGCTAACGTGAATTTCATAAGTTTCATCTCATGAGAAATAAAATGGAAAGTGCAGGTTATATAATTGAGACGTCTAAATTGTCCACAAATCTGTTGTTAATGCACCAAATCTTATATTTTGTTTTTTAATAATACTCTGTACATATGTTAACATACTGTTATATACATCTTCTTGCCTGTCTCGAGCAATATTATGCCGTGAGGGTAGATTGTCATCAGCCACAATTATATTATATTTTTTTTAAAATCAATCATGGCTTCATCATTTACGCTGTCGAATAGCAATAGTGATCTGGCGAACCATAGTGACAAATCGCGCGCTAGCGTCCACTTGTCTTTTTTCCACCAGTATCACTACTTTTGTGACTGGTTTTGTTTTTCTCTGTACGGAAAATACCTTAATGGGGCTACTTTTGTTCTATTTTGAGTATCTTCTAAGTTATGTTCGTCCTTTAAATGACGCAGTGGTGGCTAAATATTTACTGTAGGCTTTGATCGCTTTGACGATTGCTCTGAAACAAAAAGAAAAACTCAATAAAAACGTAATATACCAACCTCACGGAAATAAAGAGCAATATAATATAGTAGGTACATAGCATAGGCAATTAAAAATATTTCAACTACTAACATTTTATAGTTAAAAGAAACAAACAAATGTACCTACCTATATTAGCAATGTTAAATAGAAATAAGACCCTATTAAAACATACGACCGTTACATAGATACATACCAAGCTGATAAGCTTATAGAGCCGTGACAGCTCAGATGCTCGCGGTAAATTTCACGAACGAAATTACTCGAACAACCCGGGTTCGATTCCCGCCGGCACCAACGAAATTGTTTATTGCAATTTTAAGTGCTGATTTACCACGTGTTCGGCGGTGAAGGAAAACATCTTGAGGAAACCTGCACGTCTGAGAAATAAGAAAAACAAGTATTTCGAAGACATGTGAAGTTCGCCAACACGCATTGGGGTAGCGCGGCGGACACTTCCTTGCCCTAAAACCCTCTCAGAAATGAGAGGAGGCCTGTGCCCAGAGGTGGGACGTATATAGGCCGAATTATACCTTTTTAACTATAAGCTAATAAAATTGCATTAAAAATATGTCAAGTTGAATGCGGTAAAATTCGTAATAGTAGTGTTACTTAATGTGTAGTGTTCGCGTTGTTTTATTTATGGAATCTAAGCGACAAACGAGCACACTGTCCACCTGATGGTAAGTGGATACCGTAGATTTAGAAGTATATTCTAAGTCTACGGTATCCAGTATCTACCATAGACTTAGAAGTATATTCTAAGTCTATGGTGGATACTGTGGCCCATAGACATCTACATTTATCCTCGATTAAGAATCACAATGCAGTTGCGTTGTCACCTCTGAGGACTAAGATGGAATGCCTCGTTTCCGGTAAAAAGGGTCTCCAGTTCTCTACACTCACCACACGAAACACAGCAGCCTTAAGCTGCGCTTCTTTGAGAGCATTGTCCTACCCCGATCGAGCCGACCCATTCGTGCTACAACTAATATACGTCTATACGTGGTAGAGCCACGCTGCAGCTATATGCAACTTTATAGTTGTAAGAAATTATTATATTTATGATAAAAGTTTTAGTCTATTTGTTTTATGTAATATATATTAGTTTTTGTTTTGACGAATATTGTCATGTTAAAGGCTTCCGTCAAAGTAGTAGTAAATTGAAAACATACAAGCACTGTTGACCTGCGTAGGTCATCGATTAATTAGCGTCAGAATGATACATTTAATGATGTAAGTGCTCAGAAGTTTTAAAGCAAATTGTTAAGCAACTCAAGCAAGGATCTACATCTTCAAATGCATTACTTTGA